CTCAGAAATATATACACCACAAAAATATGGAGAAAGAGAAAAAGAAAAAAGAAGGTATAGAAAACCTTATAAAAATTATAGAAAGTACCCCAGAAAACAATACTATCTTAGGAAGAGCAAAGCTAGAAAACCATTTCTTAAAAAGGAACATCATGTTAGAAGATATAGGCCAGAACGTACCTATGGGAATAGATTATCTTGTTTTATTTGTAAACAACCTAACCATTTAGCAACCAATTGCCCAAATAAACATAATTCTTTTAACAGAGAATCTCATTTAGTAGAATTATTTTCAGAAGATTTAATCGAAATAGATGACAATATATTAGAAACAGAAAGCATTTATAGTATAGTATCAGAAGAGATGGATTTAACAGATTTTATAGAACAAGAAGATACAGGATTCATAAATGAAATCCTAGAAAAATCAGAAAATAGAACTATTATGGATAATATATACCTAGAAGAAATAAAAGAAGATTTTAAAAAATTAGATGACTTAGATCTAGTAGAAGTAGAATGTACTCATAAATGGGAACACAGAAAAGGTAATTATAGTAAAGCTTGTTATAATTGTAATAGATACCCAGCAATAGAATTAAGATTCCAATGTCAATTATGTTATACAGAAGGATGTAAATTTTGCTTGGATAAATTAGCACAAATATACGTTTTATTAGAACCAGTTAAAAAGGATAAAACAGAAAACACTGTGCCCTTAGAACATTACCTAGAAAGAAGAATAAGAATTTTAGAAAATAAAATAGAACAATTAGAGCAAAAAATAGAAAAATTTGATAAAGGGAAATCTATAGAAAGGGAAGTATATATAGAGAATGCTGATATAGAAATTTTTCCAGAATTAATAAGACATAATTATGATTCTGAATTATTACAAGCAGGGATACCAACGGTAACTTCCATTGAAATAAAACTAGAATAATAATAGGAGACTTTGATACAGAAGTTTTAGCAATAGTAGATACAGGAGCAAGTAATATAGTTATCCAACAAGAATTAATACCAGAAAAATATTATGAAAAAACATATAATATTAGAACTGCAAGGCAAATGGATGGTAGTACCTACACCTACGACACTGCAATTCATAATAGTCTCTTATTTTTTGAAATAGACAATAATCACTGCACACCACCTTATCCAGTAGGAGAAATATATGTTAGAAATTTTCCTTATCAAATGATTTTAGGACTAGCTTTTATACTACAATCATATCATGGCATGATTATTACAAGGACAGGGTTAACATTCTTAAGAGACCATACTTTACCTTATAATACATTCATAACACCAGGAATACGGAAAGACAATAAAAATACAGCAATTCATAATTGTAAATGTAAAGGAGCAAAAGATTGCAAATGTAATCACATAGAAACTATAGAAAAAATAGAAGAATTTAATAATATAGAAACTATAGAAAGCATAGGAGAAGATTTTAATGAAATAGAAATAAGTTTAGACTTTTTACAAAATGAGAAAATCTATAATATGTTAGAAACAGGACACACAGATATAGACCAATTAATAAGTAAGTTAGAAAAATTAGAAATTTTTGGAGAAAATCCAACCATTCATTGGGAAAAAGATAAAACAGAATGTAAGTTAGAAATTTTAAACCCAAATTTAAAAATTAGTACAGCAAAAATAGAAGCCAGTAATGAAGACATAAAAGAATTTGAAATGCATATAGGAGATTTAAATAAATTAAAAATAATCAGAAGAAGTACCAGTCCACATAGAAGTGCAGCATTCATAGTTAGAAAACATAGTGAAATAGTCAGAGGAAAAAGTAGAATGGTAATAAATTATAAAACATTAAATGATAATACTAAAGAAGATAGTTATGACATACCAGATAAAAATGAACTAATAAATAGAATTCAGTATAGATATATTTTTAGCAAATTTGATTGTAAATCAGGATTTTGGCAAGTAAAAATGCACACAGATAGTATAGAATGGACAGCTTTTACATGCCCCTTAGGACATTTTGAATGGTTAGTAATGCCTTTCGGATTAAAAAATGCACCGGCAATATTTCAAAGAAAAATGGATAATATTTTTAACAAATATAAAGAATTTGTCATAGTATACATAGATGATATATTAGTATTTTCAAAAAATAAAGAAGAACATGTTGGGCACTTAAAGTTAGTTTTCGCAGAATTTATTAGACATGGAATAATAATTAGTAACAAAAAGGCACAATTTTTTAGAAAAAATTCTATATTTTTAGGTCAACTAGAACTATTCTTTTGGATAGTTCTAAGGGCAGAGATATCCTATTTTGGAACCTTAAAAGTCAAAAACACGGTGTAGTACCCACCATAGCCGTTCGGTCAAGAGTTCCTGCAAGGCTTAAGGGGAAGATCTGGTGAGGCAAACCTCCAAAGATAGGACTCCAACTCTCATAGCATCAGAAGGAAACTTTGAAGGTATAATTTCTTTAACCTCTATCAAGTACCGAGTACTCATATAATTCTGAAATTAAGTTGATAATTTCTAGATATAAAACCTGTATGAATTTTGAACCACCTTTTCAGTTTACAACCTCTCAAGAAAATTCATATAGAATAGCATTAGCAACTCTTAAACAACCAGATACATATTATTATTTTGATAAAATTTTAGAAGATCTAGAAACTTCAGATCAGTGTTTAGCAAATATACAAATGCATAAATTGGTTGTAGATATAAAACCTGTATGAATTTTGAACCACCTTTAAAGCTTAATCAGAAATTCCACAGATTTTGTTACAGGAATTCCTTCTGTTTTTATATTCTTCTTTTTCTTCTAATTTTTGTTTTTCTATAGATTTTAATTCAGAGTATCTGTGCCAAAGTAAATCTACTTTTGCTTGTCTAATATTTCTGAGAAAGGAAGCGGGATGGTGGTGTGCTACTTTTACTAATCTAGATTCTTCTATTTGTATATTTGCTAAACACTGATATGAAGTTTCTAGATCTTCTAAAATTTTATTATAATATGTATAAATAAATATATAAATAATATACATTAATATTAATTATAAATATTATAATATTATAAATATGGTGTTTATATAATATTTCAATTTGTAATATTTATTGTATATTTCATTATATAAATATTCATATAATATATAATATATAATTTTCAATTTGTATAATATACATAATATTGTATATATATAATATAATATACATAATATAATATATTATACATAATATACATTATTACATTATTACATATTATGTATATTATACATTATACATAACATTATTATACACAATAATGTACATAATAATATTATACATTAATAATGTATATATTATAATATAGTGTACATAATATATTATGTATAAATATTTACACATTTATGTATACAATATTACATATTATGTATATTATATTATATTATGTATAATATACAATATTATGTATAATATTAATTTATATAAATATTTATATAATATATAATTTATATAATTTTCAATTTATATATTTCAATTTATATTAATATAATATAATATATATAATATACATAATTGAAATATACAAATTGAAATATACATATGTAGTTGTTTTTGATATAATGTTTGGATATGATGTTTTTGGAGTTGTTTTAGAAATACACATTTACTGTAGTATTTCGAATGTGAAAAACAGTTTTTCAAAAACAGTCCCAAAAACAAGGGATCCAAACACACCCATAGTTTTTGGTTGATTTAACTTGAAAATTTGAGATGTATGCTTTACCATAGCTGATATCTGGTTTTGTGCCTGATGTTAGCAATTTGAATTATGGCGGTCAAGTGTGGACTGTGGAGAGAATAGAATTGCCATCGTGTAACTTTTGTCAGGAAGCTTTTTGAGTTTGATGCTGAATTAGGGTTGCAAACGAATCGAGCCGCTCGCGAGCGACTCGAGTCAAGCTCGAGTCGAGCTCGAACCAGCTCGAGTCAAGCTCGAGTCGAGCTCGAACCAGCTCGAGTCAAACTCGAGCTCGAACTCGAGCTCAGAATATTAAGCTCGTTAGCTTGCGAGCCGGCTCGCGAGTTTGAGTATATATATATTTTTTTTTTTTATTTTTATTTAATAATAAAATTACGTATATTATATATATATATTTTTTTTATTTTCATAGTGAAATTACGTATATATCCTTAATATTTTATTATTTATTCAGCAAAAAATATTATTTTATTTATTTTTTAAAAAATAAAATAATTTTTTTTATTTTTTTCGAGCTCGAGCTCGAGCTCGGCCCGACTTGATTCGAGTCGAGTTTGAGCTTGAAAATTGCCAGCTCGTCGAGCTCGAGCTCGAGCTTGGTAAAATTTAGTTGAGACTCGGCTCGATTAGCTTAAATCTCGATTCGTCTCGACTCGTTTGCAGCCCTATGCTGAATGTAGTACGCCGGTCCCACTTTTACATTTGATTGCCTTTCTTATTCACTTGTTCGAAATTGATGAATTGGGAGGCATTTGCCCAACATAGTTCGCGGGTCCCGTGCTGTTTGACCATCAGTATTCTTCATTGACGCGTTGGGATCTGATGCTGTGGACTTTATTTGGAAGCGAATTGTTTTATGTACTCTTCCATATATACCAGCAGCACAAAAATCATGGGTAGTCACGAAAAATGCAAATAAAACCAGAAAAACATGAGGCCCCTTGCTTATTAAAAAAGTCCAATTTTGACTTTAATTATAGATTAAATCTTACGACATTATTAAATCTTATTACCAGATTTTCCAATGAAAGCCAGCCCCAAGTTTTTTATTCCAACTTGTCAAGCTACCTGTACTAAAAACTTAAGACTCACGGTACAAATACCACACGATATTAATACTCCGATTACAACCAAGTCTTGTTTTCAACAACAAACTTAATTTGAGTACGAACGAAGAGGAAAATATAGGCATCACAAATACCAGGTACTTCTTAACTCTCTGCAAGCCTCTAACTAATAGCAAATCTTTAATTGAACTGCGTCATGCACGGTGTCGCGTATTTCTATAGGCATTGAACATATATGTCGCCATTATATCTCTCATGGCAGTCCATTGTTCAACAACTTCAGGAGGAGAATGCAATGGCTGTATCTCGGGATATGGAGGAATTGCACCTTGACTTATTGGATCTCCCTCGTCTGGGTTAGCAAAGTACATATCATTCGGTTGTTGATCCCTAATGAAGTTATGCACGGCACAACAGGCAATAACTACATTTATCTGTGTTGCCATCATGTAGTTTGGAACAGCTCCCCGTAAAATGGCAAATCTCCTTTTAAAGACACCAAAACTTCGCTCTATGACATTCCGTAGTGCAGAGTGTCGGTAATTAAAAAGTTCTTTCGCTGTTGCAAATCTCCCTCTCCTGCGACCTCTAACATCCGCTTGGCGTCCCCTATACGGTGGTAAGAAACCGGGCAAGTTTCGATACGCGGAGTCAACTAAATAATATTTTCCTGTATCGCCATTACGAGAACCAAAGGATTATTTGCATTTTGTACTTTGCAGGTATAGTTATTGGCTATATTCCAACGGCCCAACCAAAGGTTTGATACACAATAAAAGATTATCATAGTTCTTTTTTTTTTGTTTGTGCAACACAATTATAATCCCAACTAGCAAAGGTTAACTAAAATCACTGTGAAAAAGCAAGTTTCAAGACATACCGATTCTTTGAATTACCGAGTACGGAGGGATTGCATATTATACCTGTAGGTGGCACAGGAAAGTGATTTGGGCCCGTCAAAGCCCCATCCAAGACTCGGGCATCATGTGCACTTCCCTCCCATCTGGCATACACATATATAAATCGCATATCATTGTCGCATACAGCCAGAACATTTTGCGATTGTACACCATGCCTATTTGTGAATGCCACTTGCTGTCGTCTTGGGACACAAGCAGGTATATGAGTCCCATCAATAGCCCCAACGCGGTCCTTCAAAAAGAAATATACGAAAAGACACGTGAACCGTTGGACACTATTAATATAGTACACGATACAGACTTCCACAATTATCACATACTAGCTCCAAACACCAAAGGGTATAAATATTAATTGAAGCAGAGACTTTTTTCTCACGATACAAATTTTTTCGCCAATTATTAGGGTAACCTGGATATGAAATCGTATGGTGAACTGTGCTCGTGTTAAACGGTACACATCACATGCATTAGAGTAGGGGTTGCATGAAATTTGAAAACAAGAAGATGTATATCAGACAAGCAATTTTGATATCACCGTACTTCAAACCATGGATAAAATCTCGTGTCACTAAAAATTTTGGGATGAATTGCATCCTGGTTTCTGGGAGTAATGATGAATTGCGCGAATGTACACAGGCCCCGGATGACTTCGTGAATATTACGATGCACCGTTTCAGTGGAATGGTTAAATCGGTTAGCAATCATACGCATTCTCATATTGTGGCTCATCATGACCAATGTCATCGCAAGTGCCTCCTCTATTGTAACCCGTTTCTGATGATGTTGGGGAACAAATCCACATTCGGCCAAGAGCGAGCACAACTGCATGAAAGAATCAACATTTAACCTTGTTGCGTCCATAATTTGTGTATGGTGGCCTGACATCACTTCTTCAACTCATGCGCATCCTGATAATGCAGACGTCCTGCAAGGCACCTTTTGGATTGGACCTCCGTATAGTTCTGCATGTGATCCAAATAATAGCGCAGCACTAGCAGCAAATAGAAGCTCATCTTCGTCCGAAGATGAGCTCGTGCCCTGGCCATCACCGGGATCGCTCATTTGGCCCTTTTTTGAACTAAAACAATTTAGAGTCGAGTGCTATGTCCGACTAGAGTTGCTAAAATCAAGCTGTCGTCGAAGTGCGCTCACCAATTCTCGTTTTACTCTCCTCCTCGTTTGTATGTTCATATGAAATATACAAGCATGGCTTGAGATGCGCGTTTTATAGGCCATGAAAAAGGGACGACAGCATTATTGGATGTGTTCGCGGCAATAACTACCATTACTACAATTATTACTAGCTCACGAGAAATCATCTGTTGATTCCATTATGAATTGACAGTAAGCACCTTTTACCTCTGCATGCTCACTTCCTTTTTTTGGCGAACATATTTGAACTGGTTACGATAACGTCCACTGTCAATATTTTTTCTGAATCCCATGGTACCTGTCTGAGCACGCCAAGTCTGTGTCAAATTTTGAGATCTTTCGAGTGTAGCTTTCATGTGCATAAAGGTTCACGAGGTCTGCATATCACCAGGTTAATATAGCTGCTGTCTACCATAGATGTTCATGAAACACCCACTTTTAAACTATTAAAGGGACCAGATTGGAGTTCAATGAATCTACCTTTTGACTTTTGTGTAGCTGATACTTGGCCTTATAACACCGAAAGTCTACACGTTATGATGTATCTAGGACCTTTTATTAACCGGAAGCGTTTATATGCTTTTACCTATGCATTACTCGAAGTAGGCACGTGATTCCTGATTATCTATTTCATTTTATTGTCAACTAATTTTGCTGATCTACAATTATTGGTCTCTGTATGAGCTAGCGCCGTGTGCTTTGGATTTCTAATGTAGTCCCTGCTATTAAATAGTTCGTGCAATTTGAAGCAGTTTTGGAGTGAAAAAAATAAATTGACGGAATTGGTCGGTAAAATTTGACGTAGATTTAGATTAATTGATGGAATTAGCGCTGTGTGTCTACATGTGTATTGAATTAAATTTCGATGTAGGACATCACCAGACCAATAAGAATAAACACCAAAGGGAAAAATTGAAGGGACAATTTGCATTGGATCAACTGCTGATTTGGGTGCTCTAACTAATAGTAATTGAATTAGATTAAAATGTTCCTCCTCCTTTGTAGTTATTTAGGAAAAAACAACAGGGACAATATCTGAACACTTGCTTTTACAGTTTAGAATTAGCTACATTTTGCTTATGTTTTTTCAACTTTAATTTTGACGGACAAATTGTCCGAAGAGAATTTGATTAGTTTTTCAAATTTAATTTACAAATGAATTCGATTAGTTTCCCTTGCCCAAAAAATCTGAAATAGCTATTTCGGGCTCAAAACTAAACATGTGCTACACAATTAATCTCAATTTCACTAGTACGGACTTCCCAAAACTTGGCAAAGGCTAAAACCGCATTGGCACTAAAGATGTCGCATACAACCAATTTCTTTTTCTGCTTATTTCCTCACGCGGCAAGAAGTCGCATGTCGATGGCCACATCACAGAGCTATTAAAAACCAAATTAACTAATGCAATTAAAAACCTCCAATATTAACCATAATATACAGCTAGTACTATCACGTCCAGTCACATCCAGTTACAAAACCAAAGTTTTAAACCAAACAGGGCTGTCCAAATAACTTCTGGAAACATGAAGGACAAAGTTTTGGTAATTATTGCTACAAGCTTGGGCAAGGCACTAGTTTTAAATTCTCATACAAAGGGACTAAAAGTCCCAACTCAACGTCTGGAAAAATTGAGAACCCAAGAAACAATCCCAAGTCTCGACTACTTTCCATCAGGTCCCCGCTGAGGTGCACTCGCCAAAGAGTACAACCAGAACTCTTGCATCTCGCGACTGAGATGCAGGAACGTCTTCCGCCACTTGTCGTCCTGGAGTGCGAAAAGTGCAGCGAGCTTAGCCCCTTTATCGACCGATGGTCCAAATGATTCGATGACCTAGACTGCCATATCGACATCAAATTTCTCCTTGTCAGATGCACGGCGATCCTTGATTTGTAATTTAGAATTCGCTAGGGAGGAGAGGGAGTTGGCACACTCAACGAATGGATCGTTGGTACTTCGACTTGACTTGCTTCCCCGGGATGCACTTAGGAGCGAGGTTGTCGCCCCTTGACTGCTCGAACCTCGCTTCACTCCCACAACTGGAGATTCCTCGTTGAAATCTCCATCCATGCCCGCGTTGTACATATCATCATCAACGGGCGAAGTGAAAGTCTGCCCACGACTATGCCCAGCTCGCTTGCGTGGATTGTAAACTGAAGGTGGAACTGAAGAGGCTTGAGCTTGACTCCCTGTGGCGGTTTCTGTTTCTAAGATCTCGTGCAGGATTGCATATTTGTCAACGCATAGCCCGAATCTGAAGTACCTATAATCATAATTCTCCTGTTTCAAAGACAAACCAAGGAAGGTTAAGACAAATTGAATATTGACATACGATTAAAAAAGCTTGTGCAAGGACCAAAAATAATAAAAGATTCCATATATGCTCTCCTTTTGGACAATTGTTCAAAGTGATTTCAGAAATCAGCCCCCCGGAGGACAAAAATCAGCCCCCCTTATTGTCCTATATCCATATCTTAAAAATTGCACCCCCTCCTGAATGTGCACGCATACAGAGCTAAACACAAAGGCTATAGCAAGGATAGCAGAAAAGCAAAACAAATGGCAGATTATATTCACGTCCTGATAATGTCAAAGTTGAATGACTCGGACTTAGTTTGACTGCTGTTAGAATAAAAATTTGATAAGGAGTTATTCCAAATATAAGTTCTGGTTTCCTCTATGCAGGAACATGGTACATTTTAACAGCCAAGAAACAGAAAAAAGACATCACCATTACGATTTGGCATATGGAATTTAGATATGTGAAGTACCATTTAAATAGTTGGAAATGAATAACAAGGTCGAATGGAAAAAATACCAGACACAAATTGTTCCATTGAGACTCTTCAGCCAAGAAGCACCTCCTATTCTCGTCCCAACCAATACCAGTTTTGGCAGATTGGCGCAGACCTTTTAACTTGGTAAAGGCACGCCAAATCCTCTTCTCTCGTTCGAATTTAGAATGGTACACACTCCATGTGTACTGCTTTCCCCACTGTGAATTCAGATGCGCAGCCAGCTTCATCCAATTGGCCTCAGATGAAACGTTTGGATTCCACTCCCCACTCCTTTTCCACTCGACGAATGTCATACAGAAATGAATCTCCATATTTGCATCCCAATAGGCCTTCGCAGCGTTGGGGTCACGTGGCATCTAAATGAGGAACCAAAACGACGGTAAGCATTAATAAAAATCTGAAGTGCTGGAAGAAGAATCAGATTACAACGGATAGGCAACTTTAACAATTATTAGAATGTGGATGGATCAATCAATAGCCCCAAGAAAGCAGAAATTGGCAAAGGCACTCGTTTGTATTAGTTTGGCTCATCAAACCTGGTTTAGCAGGCATTTGCACCCCCTAAATTCATATAGCGAAGTACTAACGATGTTTTTAATTGGGACAAAGTGATAGTCTAAGAAAAGGCTGCCGAAATCAGATTACGATTACTATGAAAATCAAATATAGTCCAAGATTGACCTGCATTCATGGTCACATACCCCATAAGTATGCTTACTTATTGAATAAAACTAGCATGGTCAGCCAATAAATGTCATATAGCTGCCAAATATAAGTACACAGGAAATGAACTTGGCAGCAAAACAAATTTTTAGTTGAGATAGATGAATCCCCTGATATGACTGCATAGGTTTTTTGTTTAATAATTAAAAAACTTACTCTGAAGTAGTTGACAAGGGACTGGATGTAGTCGTTCGAGTCTGTGACGGAGTGCACAGATGAAGCTTCGGAAAGATGGACTGGAGTATTTGGACCGGACAGTGATCTCCTCCGCTTGTTGGGCATTTACTGGTGCTCTATCACTGTCAAAAGGTCATGACATGCACGGACCTCAGTCCAGATCATAAATCAGCAAATTCAAATTCTTGCGGCTGGTAGAATGACTGCATTAGTTTGGAGGTAGTATTTGAGAAATGTCAGACGAAATCACTGTGGAGTTGCTACAACAACTGGGTTTAGCCCCATCCAAAAAGTCTATTAGTGTATAATTGAAATCTGTTGGGGCATGTATGTGGTCCTACTGTATTTCTTAACATGGCCGCCTATAGATGCAAGGATGTTTGGAAAACTCTTGTTATATAAGCTATAAATCAGACTTCTAGTAATGTTGCTGGTTGTTTGACATTTTCGGGGCTGTGATTATTAAGACACTTCATAACAATTGGACTGTCATTGGGTTTACTTAGTTCACCGTAGCAAAACCATGCATCAGATTAAATCAACTGTATTTGGTATCTAACCAAATGATAAACCAGTCCAAAGGTTTATGAGACATGATAAATGAATTACAGTGATTTGGGAAATGTATGAACAAGCATGGAAGATGGAGATTCCAGCAGGTATGGCGAATGAAATCCCTAACCTGTTTACTCAGCCATATTGAAGTCACCGTAAAATCAGATAAATAATAAGTGAAATGAGAACGACATAATCAAAGTTGTACCAGCAGCAAGGAATTCATCATATAAGCAATTTGGCAGTATCGAATATGATTAAGTGCGGCATAATTACTCTGATTGGGGAATTAATTTCCAAACCCAAAAGTTGCATCTGATTATTAGAAATTATTAAAAGTTAATCATGAAATCCAATTTCTCGCGAATTATATTTAGGCAACTTTTTCACACCAACGACACAGGCTAATATATTTTATCCAATTTCACAACCAACAACCTATAATATAAGTCGATCAATTAAAGAAACAAAAGAAGTCCAAGACTGTATAGATCTGAAATTATTAATATGATTGATAAATGACTCCTGTACTACAGAAATTATGAGTGCCAAATTTTGCACTGGAGGGATATCATACTAAACATGCTCCATCACACAGACTAGACGTGGATCTACCCTACATGGCTGACGAATTAGTTTTTCCGTCGAAGAACTCTACCCCGTTGTTTTGAGAATCTTGGGACATCGACTAAATTAAGTGCCCAGTTCAGATTATTAAAGTTTGCACGTGAGGAAAATTTTTTGTTCCAATTGCCGACAGGAATTGATATAAACAAGATGCATACCTGCCAAATCTGACGGTTGCCCTGGATAGAATTTGGCCTTCAAATCAAGCCTCAAATAACTGGATTTCTTATTTCTGCGTTCGGTCTCTGCTTCCTTCTGCACTGCCCGGCGCCGGCGATCTAGATGTATCCTTCGTCGTTGAAACCCACCGTACACAAAATAAACGCTTAATGCACTCACAATTAACGCGGTGCCCACTTTTACTTGTTCGCACCAGAAGCGGATTCCGTTGGCTATGGGTGACCTCTTCTGCAACAGGAGAGAGACGTATAGGGAGGTTTTGGAAGGACAAAAAAATTAAATGAAGGAACTTGGTGTCGTTTTGTTAGAATTCCCAACGGGAGGATACGTCCAGACAAATTATGGGTGTCTTCACCTTGATGGGATATTAAATTCGCTTTTCTGAACACTTCACGTGATGGAGGAATTTCACTCCGTTCAATGAGTTTGTGGGGTCAACCAACAAATGGTCCGGGCAAAATCACAAAAGCAACCGAGAAATGTAGTCTGACGTGTCCAAACACAATTTTGAAATATTATTTTGACAAAGTAAACTAGGTAAAGTAAAACCACAGTCCAAACGGAGCCAGTGCTTTTGTTTGTTTTCTCATAGCCGTCTCCCAATGTAGGCCAAACATTGGGCAAATTGAACAGCCAAGATTGTGACACTACATGATCCAGTGACGGATGAGGGGCAGGAGCGATCATTCTGTTCACGGCCAGATTTTGGCTAAAAGAAAATGTGCGGTCCAGATCACTAATTGTACACCGATTTTCACAACGTGTGTGGAACCCACAAAATTTTGTACTAAAGTTACACGTTATGCAAACAAATTTACGTTATGTGCAACCAAAGTTACGCGCCGTTGAAAATGACCAAAACTGCCCTGCAACCGTTCTTGCCGCTTGTCCTCCAGTGACTAATATAAGAAACCACAAAACTTTCCGCTACTCCATCCAAAATGCCCTCAAAGTTGCTCGAAATTACAGGATATCGAGCCCATGTGCATTGTGGCAACTCCAACTAGCACTTTAGTAAGGACTAGGAGGAGATCACCGCGCTATCGCGCAGTGTGGAGTTAATGCCCAAGATTTCTTTGTGCCCAACATTGTTTAGCAACGATGTCAGTTGTACGTGAAAATAAATTGTACAATGTCTGAGTAAAATTGTGTATTTTCTATTTCGAGAACTTGGAAGTAAGGGATAATAGTAATTAGTACAACAATTAACATGATCTTCCTGAATGCTTATCAAATGTCATGAATTAAGAAACATATTATAAAATATAAATTACATTCATAAGTACATAATCTAATTTGCTAAACATATAAAAAGAAGAAAAAAATGAAATGTCAAGATCGGAACTAAATCAGCTTCCAAGGTTCCAATATTTGCATTCTCGATCACTCAAATCTTAGAGTATGTTAGAAATTAATAGCCTCCTGTACATATCTTTTTCTAGAACAAAGTGTCAGTATGACAATCTTGTTAACATCATAGGCAGCACACCATTATTCATTGAGCAATGGTCTAGTACAGTGGCGTATCCAACATGTCCTCTAGTGCAGAAGCCTATGACAATATCAAATTCTTTTTTTGAGATAATCCACAATCAAAATAGCAACATTAGTAACAATAAAACACCCACACAAAGCAGTAATCTAATACTCAAAGAAAAAAATAAAAAATATAAACAAAGCCAACTCTACTTGCAAAGTTTTCCAGAAGTCTTCTTTCTTTTTCTAGATTTTGGATCAGTAGAATACGGCCATGTGAACCTGAGACTTTTTTCAAATCATGAACTGTGGGATCAGGCAAAGCAAGTTTTGCAGTGGAAGAAACTGAAATGGATGACTCTTTCATGGGTGTTAATTTTACTGTTTCTGTAAGGGGTATTGGAGGAAATCGAGCACTGACATCTACAGCAGAACTTTGAGCAAAGGAAACCCATGAAGCAGGGAAAAGGGGCTGCGATGCCCAAGAAGTTGCATTTCCACCAAAGTCACGCAAAGGCGGTGTCTGATAAGCATGCGGAGGAGAAAGTGTCTGATAATCAAGAACAGGACCTCTAACATGCTAGAGCATCACAAGAGAGAGTAGGCATGTTCCATAGAGGTGATGAAAGAGGTATCATTGGATTAACAACAGGAGAAGGGCAACTCTTGCTTCTCACTCTAGCAGCAGGCGTTGAAAGAACCTTGCTTTGGCTCAAACCCTATTTATTTCCCTGCTCTGAAGTTTTAGGACCTACATTGGAGCAAATTGGAACATGCTTCAGCAGCAACAAAACCTTCAAAAACCTCAAAAAGTCGTGAAGTACCTGAACGTGATTGTACAGGGGTCTCAGAGCTGCCTGGATGCAATTTTGGACCATGAAGCCTTTCCAAATATGCCCGCCAAGCAGGCTCCCAAAAGCTCCTCCCTCCTTCTGTTAGTGAAAAGCTTCAAGCTAGTTACCACATATGCTAACAGATACATACAAGTACAAACAAAATAGAAAGAAAAATATACGAACCACACATCCCAAATGTCGAAACCATACAAGCTTCATCAGGTGCTACTCCTTGTCTGCACCATCATAATTTCAAAATATAGTTAAATCAAATGCCAGTAGGTAGACATGACATAAGAATTTTGTATAAAAGTTGAGGAAGTGCAAGAGAAAGGTATCAGGAAAAGAAACCAGACTCAGGTCTTATTTGCGAACAAACATAACTATGCCTAATGACCAGAATCTATTTACTTTCTTCACATGCCATATTGTGTATGTATCTTCGATTTCAGTATAGAACTCACATCAAGGACCCATAAACAAAAATTTGCACCCTTAATTGCAGTTGCTGTAGATCTGTAAAAGGCTGCTGAAAGAATAAAGATACTTGAGCTGAAGTGTTCAAATCGGGTAAACTTGATCCAGAAATAGGAAGAACCACGCCTTGCTTTGCTCCACTGCGTTCCACGCTTGTCACTTCTAATTGCTTAAGTTGACAACTTCCTGTTGATAAAAAGGCAGAAAAATAGAAGAAATTAACCATTATCACTCGAGAGAGGAAAGAGGAAAAAGGGAGATGAAGGAAAAAGAGAAAAATGAAAGGAGAAACCAGGAAAGAAGGAGATTACCAGTCCCATTTGCCTTGGGCCCCTCCTCCACCATCAAATCCCATCACCTTCTGAGAAGAAAAAGAATTTGGAGCCACACGTACAAAGAAAAGCTATAGATTGAGGAAGGGCCTTAGATTGAGGAAGGACCGGCAAAAAGGCCAATGTTTTGCACACCCTATTTGTTAAAGAAGGGCAATATCGTAAAATAATGCCAACCTGCATTGAGCTAGCACCCAACACTTTTCATCAATCAAATCATCACCAACCGTCATAACGTTACTCAGCTGGCCATCTGCTGACCGGAGAAATGGTACTTTTTCCTTTTCTTACAGAAGTAAGAAACCAATTCCGGAGAAATGGTACTTGCTGGAAACAAATTTAATCAAAACCAAAGGTCCTCATTCTCGGACAACAACAAAAATCCCACTTCTTTTCCTGGCGAAAGCACGTGACTCCCACGTGAATGACGATCACCCTCCAACCAATAAAACACAGCCACATCAGCACAACAGCCATCATCTTAACAAACCCATTCGTGCTTTTACTATATAGGTAGATAAGGATAAAACTAGTTGTTATTGTTGGATATTTTATTAAAAAAAATATCACATGTTCATTTTGAATTCAAACACAATAAATTACAAATTGTTCAATCAATTTTCAGCTACAAATAATATCATTCAAAAGTGTAACTTATGCCTTTAAAATGAGATTTATGTCTTGAATTGTGTAATCTATGTAATGATTAGGTTTATGAATTCAATTAGTTAAATGAACCTAAACTTTTCAATTTGTAGCTGAAATATGAGGTGTTTATTCCTCTTAATATTGGTATTTTAATACTCTTAATTTCTTAGCCTATAAATAAAGACATCTACCAACCAATATGATATACTTTGCCATCTTTAGACTATTCCTCTCACTATAATTGGAGTTTATAAGGCAAAAATAGTGTTGTGTGATGTTTCTGTTTTACTCCAATAGTGTAGATTGGAGTAGATTACAGTGAGGAAAAAGTTGGATTGTTGTATCTTGAAGGCAATGTGCTAAGACGTACTACACCGGAAAACACTCCTTAGGGAAGCGAATCATCTTAAAGAAAATGACCAACTCCGCGCCTCAAACACCAAATTAACTTTTATGGTGCAAATTATTTACATTTTTTAATGCAATATTAAGTTATAAAGTTTTTGTTAATTTCTTTGTTAAATTTTATTAGAGAAATTATTGTTACTTATATGATTATTTTGGCCAAGAACCAACAATTTTAAGACGATAGCCTCTTATTAAGAAAAAGAAAATATATTGGCATCTACCATATTGTATGAATATGAAGATACGAAATTTGCCATAGTGTAAGACTGGTTTATGTCAATTCTAACTATAGATTAAACTAATTGAACGGTTGACTTCTAGTATGAAATTTTCTTACTTGTACTAGCATGTGCAATTTGTCCATTCCTTAATACATTAGTGTTTATTGGTTAATACTTGGGCCATTGCATTTCATAGAATATCATGTATTTGTTTGTTCAAGGTAAACATGATGACAGAAAACAAGTTACTTGCATGATGTCTTTGAATATTAGTAGACCGAATACAATAACATTTTGTCATTTTTATTTTTTAATATATGTTGTATAGAGTAACTATTTTCCCATAAGCTTGTCATGTTACATAGTGAACTTTCAATGTCTCTTATATTAATGGGTTTATTCCAATTGAAAATTTGGCATTGACATATAAATGATTAATTTGGTGACAAAGATATATGTCAACAAATATCGTTAGCCAAATTTAATTTGGAATGGAAATGTACTTCAAGTTGTTAACCAATATATATATATATATATAGGGATTTCAAGTTTTTATGGATATAATAGTTTTGGCTATTTACCTACAGTTATATTAGTAGGAAGCTATCATCAAAATTTAATTGCTATGCAATGATACTAGATTGTGAGATATAGTGGCGGCTAATGTTTACTAAAAAAATTAGTCTACACTTTTAGTAAACAGACTATTTTCTGACTTATTGTATGTAGGTGTTAATACCATGAGATACTAAGCTACTAAATAACTAGATGCATTTCCTGTTTAGTTGTCTTCTATGAGAATTAAGTGGGGGCACATGTATTGACTAATAACACTTCATGACTTTGAATTATAATTACTGATTTCTCTTATTCGAAATATTGTGCATATGAAAAATGAATAAATAATATAAAGGAGTTGTTGCTATTTCTCAAGATGATCCCTTTAAAATTATTTTTGAGTGGAAGAACTCTTGCTTTGGCATTGAATATGCTACAAGTTATGTGCTTTAATTTGTTGAAAAACGTGTTTCCATGTACTTATATTAACTTTAGGAGATTGTCAATATTTTTTGTATTTGATTATGACATTTAGATCCTAAATAACCAGGTTACTTATTGCAGACTGCTAGTCATCTAAAATAATTGCCCTCCATACCATGATCCACTCAATGTGGAATTTGCATCACATCTTATAGGAATATGATAAATAGTGAGGATAAGTAAATCTCTGTGACTAGTATGAAATTTGTTCTTAAATGCTGCAAGCAGTACTTTTGTCAAGTGACCATCTCATGTTATTCCTTAAATTATTACTTGTTGTTGGCATGTGTTGATGAAAAAGGAAAAGTTGGAATTAGAGCATTATGAAGTGATAGATGCTGTATTGGTTGGATTCTCTATTTTTCCTCAAAGAGGGTTAAAAATGATTTTTGTGAATTGGTGATTGATTAGATGATCAATCTTTTTGTTGTTTAACATCTACTGATCAAGTCTAATTTTTCTTGATTACTGTTGATAATGCTTTATTTGTGCTAAGTTGAAGTAACCTTACCAATTTAATACTATTTGAGTATTTTGGACTATTCTGAATCCTTATCTTGAGTTGTACAGACTAGCACTCATTGGAAAGTGGAAAGTATGACCTAATGATAGTCATGGAGTTTTTTGAGGATGGCTTCTAGTGAGCTACTAGATTATTGGCCATTGAGAAAAGATTGAAAAAAGTGAATATGAGCAAATATATGTTTATACTATTTGGCAAATATAAATGGATGAGAAATTTTCTCACCAAATATTGGTTCAATATATTTGGACCACTAAGAGAGATTATTTGCAAAAATTTGAGAACGTCATATCTTCACTATTTTATTATGTAAAAGATAAATCTCAAATTTGAGTAAAGGATATGATACACATTGAGGGGGATAAGACCAAAGTCCAATATATGTTAGAAATCACCTATGAGGATACAACCACCTAAGGACTAGAGATCCCAAAAGCTAGGTTGGAGACAAATGAATCATAGAGTGGTTTGATTGATTAATATGCACTACTTTGATCATATTGTCTATCCCCATGATGTAAGTGCATTTGTGATCCTACGACGATAAGTGAGGTTGGGATTTTTAATTCCTTAATGAACTCTATAGCCCTTATGGTAGGATGTCTTAGTCATAGGAACATTCTTGATAGACTCACCTAAATGAGTGTGGAAGTGAGGCCGCTTCCTATGAGAATTTGGGTTGGTTCTTTAGAGCATTCATGAAAATCGGGATAAAGCACTAGGTCATAAATGTGATGACTTATGAAACCTATTTTAGAACACTGAAAGATTCATATATGTGATATGATTCCACCTGCCCTCAAACAGTCATGGTTTAAAGGCTAAATTCACATTGACTCTAGTATGGGAATTGTTGAGTACTAAGTGAAGGTTTAAAGGCATTGCCCCTTTCATCATGCCTAAACTTTTAATCTTTGCGCTATTAAGTGTTAGGTTTTGAGTATTATATTTTTTATTAAAATAAGTGGGGGATTGTTGGATATTTTAATAAAAAAGTATCACATGTTTATTTTGAATTCAAATACAATAAATACAACTTATTCAATGAATTTTCAGCTACAAATAAAACCATTCAAAAGTATAACTTATGTCTTCAAAATGAGATTTATGTCTTGAATTGTGTAACCTATGTAATGATTAGGTATATGAATTCATTTAGTGAATTTTTTACCGTTATACAATGAATCTAAACTTTTCAATTTGTAGCTGAAATATGAGGTGTTTATTCCTCTTAATGTTGGTGTTTTAATACTCTTAATTTTTTAACCTATAAATAGAGGCATCTATCAACCAAAACTCATATACTTTGCCATTTTTAGACTATTCCTCTCACTATAATTGTAGTTTATAGGATAAAGAATAGTATTGTGTGAGGTTTCTGTCTTATTTCAATAGTATAGATTGGAGTAGACTACAGTGAGGAAAAGGCTGAGTTATTCTATCTTGGAGATGACGTGCTGAGACCTACTACACTGGTACGCGAATCATCTTAAAGAGAGTGACCTAGTCCGCACCTCAACCCACACCAAATTAACTTTTATGGTACAAATTATTTGCATTTTTAATACCATATTAAGGTATGAAATTTTTGTTAATTTCTTTGTTAAATATATTAGAGATATTATTGTTACTTATATGATTATTTTGACCAAGAACCAACAGTTGTGCCACACGCTAAGGCATAACGGTGCCCAAAGGGAGAGCTTAAGATTGTTGCATATGCGTAAAAGTAGACTATAAATACCATAATTTGAAACAATTTCCAGTATGTACAGTGAGCTAGTCATTGCTATATATATAAGTCACTCTCATGCATACAAATCGAAATAAAATTGCACGATAGCTATGATAGTATTGCCAATTCACTTAGGTAGAAAAGCATAAGTGAATGACTTTCAAAATTGTGATATTCATCCACCAAATGTATTATATATGCCTTAGGCGAGGTTACATCTCTTTTATATAGTCTAACATTTGCTTTTTTGTCATGTACAGACAAGAACATAATGTATTAACTAAAAAAGCTTTTGCTAGATTTCCAAAATATTCACCATAAAGTAGTGAGTTACATCTCATAACAATTGACCGAAAAAATTAGTTAATTGGTTTGGCTTTTTTCTTTTTT